AACAGAATTTTTGAATCATCCTACTATTTGCTTTGAAAATAGAGAGGAAAAGACACTTCCCAGTTTAATGCTACTCCAGTCACAGTGTATGGTGCCACGATGCTGAATAGTATTTTGTATTTTGGTAGCACTGGTACATTTAAATAAATAACTGGATAGTACATTAAAAAAAAAAAAAATGCCCTGGGTGTTATGTGTCCAGGCAACCAGTTCTGGTATTTAGACTTCTATTATACAGTGTGATGACTGTGAGGTTCCTATGGGACCAGAAAATTCAGAGACTGTGTAGTTAGAGAAGACAGGATAGAAAAGGTGCTGTAAGGGATGCTGGTGTCTGGACTTGCCTGTGCGTTTATTTCTTGCCCTGGAACCAGGGCAGATGAGCAGCGCAGTGTGTTTCAGAGTGCTGATTTTAGCATGTTTGGTAGCGGTTTAGCTTGCACAGATGTGGCCACATAACTCCCTCAAAGGCCCTGAAATGGAGGCTCTCCAGTTGTCCCCACTGCGTATGGAGCCTCTTGTGCTCCCCTGAGGGGAGGTCTCCGTGACCTCCAGGCGAGTTCTGCCTTGGTGATTCATTGCAATACCTTGGAAACGCAAACAGACTTCAGCTGGGTCCCTTTCTAGTCCCTGGACTTTGGAAAAGACTTTTCGCTCCGTTGAGCCCTTAGCAGGTCACAGAGCAGCGGTGAAGCCGATTCCGCCAATGAGCTGCACGTGCCGGGAGGTGTGTTCTGAGAAACAGCCTGAACTTGCATGCAGGCCGTTCCTGGCAGCCCTGCGTGCTGCCCTGCTCTCACCGTTAAGGGTACCTGCACTTTTGGTTTTACTTATTTTAACTTACTTTCTACAGGGAGAGTAAATAGAAACTGTGAAAAAATGTTGCAGTCTTCTGCTTATTGTCACTGATTACAGGTGAAAAGCTGATACGAGAGACCTTGACCGGATGTTAGACATGTGTTTCTCAAGCATGCCCTCCTCCTTGCTCTAACAATTCTGTTTTTGTTTGTTTGTTTGTTTATTTGTTTTCTGAGTAGTATAACAGTTAGGAGTTTAAGTCAAGTAAAAGACAATTAAGCTTGTAGTGTAAGCTTAGCGTGTCTTAGGGTGGTAAGAGAGTTTTCCCATGGAGAAGAATAACTATGCAGATTTCTGAGATTTTTTTCTGGAATTCTGTACACAATTCTAGGCCACCCATGGGCCCCTGCCCTCCTAAGGAAGGTGCTCCCATGTGAAAGAGGTGCCCCTCTTGCACACCTCTCGGGACACATTGTGGCTTTCTAATCAGTTAGGAATAAGGCATGGCTTGTTTAACCGGATGATGTGTCTCTCAGATAGTCCTCACTGACAGTTAAGGGAAACTTGTTTGCTGCCGTGCTGTAATCAATCTTTGGCTCCCTGGTAGCAGACTGTTTGGTGGTTAGTATGAATGTGTTAGCCTTTTGCACAAGTGCACTAGTTGTTTTTAGAAAAACAGTTAAAGGGCTTTCACAGGACTACTGGCTTATGTAGAAGCCTCTTATCTGTGCTGGGAAATGCCATCAGAGGGAGAGGTCCCTGTTGCATTTGTCAAGGGAAGCGTTACCAAATTTGTTTTGTGACCAAGAAGAAATGATTGCTGAAAAATAGTTCTGCAGGGCCTGAATTGTTAGGATGTCACGATGATCAATATACTGATTTTTGTGGTCTGTCACTCACTGTTTGCTTTAACAGGTTCTTCTCCGGCAACTTAACTTGCCGTAGTTGCTTGTTCAGCCCAGAGTTCTCTCTTGTGGACCTCTATGGTGGGTTCGGTAGAATATTTCTGTGTTAGGAGATGAGGAGTAGAAGAGAGTTGTTCTTTCTTTTTCTGTTGTTTTGAACTTAGCTTGTATTTTCCTAGTGCTTTTAGAAGCCACTGAAATAATCTAAAAGGGCTTCAGTATGTCAGAACATATTTCATTTTTCATCTGTTTTCATTGGGAGTATTTGGAGGCACTAATTTGTCCCAGATTTTGTATGGATCCCATTGTTTCAGGTCACAGGACAAGAGAGAGACCTGTCTAGAAATGTCCCTTTCAAACATTACCTTGACACACCATGGGAAGGAAGACTGTGGATGTTTTATAGCACTGAAGCGAAGAAAAGCAAAGCAAGAGAATATTAGCATGCTTCACTAATTAACATTATTATAAATGATTATTACTTTTAGATTCCTTAAACATTCCTTTTTATCATCATGTCTTCTTCTCCAGTGGATATTCTGAATGCTTCTTTACTACACAAAGGTAAATGTTTCTGGGAAAACTAGCAACACTAACAGAGGCATTTTCCAGTAAAAGAAGAATCGGAAATATGTGCTCTTTCAACTATTCCTTCATTTGATCAATTACGGAGGAGACAAAAATTGAGACTGAAACACAGCAGTATCTGCACTGGGGAAGGTGTGAAAACTAGTTTTGATTTGGATGAAGTACAGTTCTTTGAAGACCTGCGTAAACGTGAAGCCCTTGTGATTTATATTTCATCCAAAGATTTATGAGATGGTAGGCTGCAGTGCGTTATTCCCACGTAGCTGGCACATGCCTACAGTAAAGCTTCAGCTAGCATCTGAAGCAGAAGCCATTAAAGGGGTCTGTGGAAGTACTATTACTGACTGCAGTCGATATTTAATCAGGCCCTAGTGAGCATTGAAAAAAGCTGTCCCTGGTACGTAGGCCAAATGGACCAAGCTGGGTGCATCCCCTTACTGTGGTCTCATTTAGTGCAGGAGCTGGCAAATGATGAAATTTGATGGCATGTAATATTTTCTTTAGCTGTGAAAGATGCATTTTGTCAGGTTGGATGTGACCTTTTAGTAAAGCTGAAATCTTTGCCTCATTTAGTGCTTGTGTGGACCTCAATCCCAGCAAGCTCTAAACTGTAAGATGGAAGTAGTGTCATATTCCAAGCTATCGTGTCCATAAAATCGAATGTACTGAAGTAGGCCTTATGCCCTAAATAGCTCTTGCTGGTCCATATGGCCCCTGCTACAGAATACAGTAAATGAAGATGAGTGTGATATTTATTGGTTGTGAAATGCTTTGCTGTAAACAATAATGTGATGTGTACAAATAACGCACGCCGACAGGAGGCGGAGAAAAATAATGGGGATTATTACGGATAAATGTGACCGCAGATTTTGTTTAGTGCCTTTTGCAGTCATCTGTCAAGTCAAATGCTAAAATACCCTAATTAGCCAGCAGCTTCCCACACAAATGAGCGGCTTGTTAGCAATCCCTGTGCATATTGATACCATTTCCAGGGTTGCTCGGATCGACGTTGGGCAGTCGGGTCCGACACAGCGAGTGGATCCCTGCGGGAAGCAGAACGAGCCCCATGGCGGCAGGGTCCCTGCCGAGGTACCGAACGGGCCTGTAGCACCCGAGTCGGGCGGTGCTGCGGAGGAGCGTCGCCATGAGCCGCGCGGGCCCTGTGCAGGCCTTGGGCCTGCTCGGCCTGGGGCGTCACGCACTGCCCGCCTCCCCTATCGCGGCTTCCTCACAGCGAGCGTG